TGACCCTCATATGTAAGCTATGGCATGCATGCACATGCCCACACACATGCAAAAAATGCAAACAAGATGAATGTAAGAATGTAATGAAAACAGAAGAAGCAAGGCATGACCGATGAAGGAAGAAATAAGCAATAAGGAACAAATTGAGCATCTGTCATCTTCTGGCCTGCAGCATTGAACAACATAAAGCTTCTGCCACTGCTCATGGGTGCTTTTTCTGCAAACACTGCAGCTCATCCCTTACCCCAAACCCATAGGGAGCAGTCATACATGGAGGAGCTAGTCTATGCCAAATGAAGACATGGCAGCGAAGTTTGCATGGCATCTATGTCCGGAACACTTGAATTCAGAGTTTCTCAGAACTGTGGACTGTCTAGAAAACTGTAAGGGCAATATGCCACCACAGTGTCACATATTGCTGTCTATATGGAAGCAGCACCTTCCATTCAATGCTAATGGAAATCATACATTTAGAACTTTACTTCTAAAGATTAAATTTTCAAAATAGCTACTGATACTTGTGGCTAGAGTTTTTCTCTCTGGATCCCGCCAAGCCCCAGCAGTCCCATAGCCCATTTAGAAAAGAAACATAAGGATGCTTATATTATTTAAACTGCTCGGCCATTAGCTCAGGCCTACCATTGTCTAGCTCTTACTCTTATACTCAGCCCATTTCTGTTAATCTATATGTCGCCACGTGTTCTGTGGCTTTACCTGTTGCCTTTACATGCTGCTCCCTGGACGGCAGGCTGGCATCTCCTCCAGACTTCCACCTGCCAGCCTCTCCTCTCTGTTTGTCCCGCCTATCCCATACTTCTTGCCTGGCTACTAGCCAATCAGTGTTATATTTATACAGAGCGATATCTCCAACAGATACTCTTATGACAAATTGGTGTATTTTTTCTCATATCTGAAGTAATTAATGATATCTAATTTTCTTTTCGGCTCATCCGCCTTCCTCCCTTAAAAGTTATCTGTTGTCTGTGCAGAATATTTTTGTTTACGGAGAAAAATTCTTTCAGAAAATGGACTATGATAATGAGGTTCTCCAGATATGCCCACTTGGGGCTCATGGACTGCTGTAACACAAGATAGCTCTTAATGTGACCAACAAAACATAATAAATTTACTTTAAAAGTTTTTGCATTATTTTTAGTAACTCATGCTACTAAAAATAACTCATGTGTAACCACGAATTTTGTAGATGACAGTGTCATGTCACATCGTACTATCAAAATTAGACATGGGTGTGGGGAGATGATTCAGCGGGTAAAGTGCTTGTTGCAAAACCAGAGGACATCAGCTTGAATTTCAGTCTGAGTTCAAATGCTCTGCAGGCACACGCCTGAGTGGGTGGAGCGGTACATGCCAATAATCCTGGCACTGGAAAGGCAGAGACCGGAGAATCCCAGAAACTGGATGGTAGGCAAATTTGTGAGCTCCAAATTTAGTGAGAGACCCTCTCTCAAAAGGTAAGGTGGAGACACATATGAATGGGAGCACGTACCTACACACACACATACAAAACAAATTTTATTTTATTTTAAAAACAACAAGACAAACCTGGTTCTGATCCAGTGCTCTTTTTCTCTCCGAATGGTATCAGCCATGATGAACTAACTGATAAATCTGGTCAATTATTCTCAAAGACTCTGTGTTTAATTACAGCTTCAGAGTTTTACCAAGAGCATGAATATTCCAATCTGCTGTTAGGATGCCATTTTCCCCTGTTTTCTTTTTTGGCAAAATTTCCTGATGGCCCATCAGGACCTCCAGAGCCTGCATAGCCTGTGAATTTAACTAAAACATTGGACACACTGTGATTCACTTGAGGTGACCAGATAGTAATTTGTTATGCTATAAATTACTTTATGACTTCATTTAAATTTAAATCATTTCTGTTGGCTTGCCAACAGAATGTTCTGGAAGTAATTTACCTGATATCTGTCAACATGGAGAAGAGAAAGATCACAGTCATGACTCCTAAGGTTTTCTTTTGAATGGTAATATTCACCAGAGAAATGTGGCCTTTGTGAATAGTGGCAATACAAAAACATCAGCATAAGAAAAGTTAGAAAGTCTACCTGTCTTATTTGGGGAAATTATTTGGGGAAATAATTTTGAACTACTTATGTTTAGCAATAAATAGATGTTACACTCAAGACAGAAATGTAACTATCACCAAATGCTTTACATATCAATAAAGTATCAAAAGTATGCCTATATAGACAGAAATTTGGCTTTGTTAGCAAATATAGATAATGCCTGATTTCAAGCAGTGCTTGAGAGTTGGTGTATAGCCGAATAATGCCACTTGACCTAAACTTAAGACTCTTAGAAATTCAGATAGTTCCTGAAAGGAGTACTTCATGTAGCCACAAATAAAACAGCATCATGAGAGAAATTCAATGACTTCAAAATAAATGCTATAAAATAGCAAATATTTTTAGTAATAAGAAGTAATATAAATATAGCAATAAATTTAAACTGTCTTGAAATATGAATACATTGATATAAAAGTCTATACACAGTGCTTCTGCAAAAAACTGTTCTAAAAGGATGTAAACTTAAAATTTGCATGTAATATTAAAATCTAAACCTACAACTCTGAAATAGTAGAACTAATTAAGTTACAATATTATTGAGTAGTTTATGGTCATTGAAGTATTCTGAAATACTTTCTATGGCATTGGTATGTTAAGAGAAGAAGCAAATTGAAACTAGATATACTTTGTGATCTAAACTTCTTTTTTCTTAAAGTCTTCCACTTAAGTGTAGACATGCAGAGAACATCAGTCAAACTCATTCTTAATCCTCTCATATTTGAATCTTGCTGAATTACCCTTTTGGTATATGTATCTGGCCCGAGGTCTTGTGGAGATCTATTAGAATAAGAAAACAGTTCAGCTTAACATTTTGTTAATATAAATCATGGATATAGATTAAATTATATGCCCCTGTGAGTAGAGGAAATCATTCAAGTAGAGTGTTGAAGTGCAGTTTATTTTTTCAAGCAGGGTAAAGCTCTCCAGATAAAGTTATTTTGTGTATATTTATCAGAGATTTTTTTATTCCTCTCAGAAAATTTGTAGTCTAGATTTTTGCTTCCTTGCTGTAGACATAGGAAGAATACAGAGGTAAACTCTAGATGTCTAAGTAGCTGATTGAACAGTGTTCAGAACAGTTTTGAACCAAGCATTCACTGCTCCAGACCCTTGTCTAGGAAGTCAGTCATTCAGTCATGCTTCGGTAGCGCTCTGAAGACTGAAAGATTACAGTTTCTAAAAATGCTTAACTTAAAACAGGAGAATGTGTGTACATGCTTTAAAAACCTGAAGTTGATTTTTAATACGTGGAAAGACTGAATGTTTGTAAGATTAAAATAGTTTCTAAAAGTATGCTGACTTTAGGTAAGGAACATCCTTAAACATAAGCTTCTCTTCATCCTTAAGAAGTAGATCTAGAGCAAGGGCAACATTCAGTTCTGAATTTGGTGACATAATAAACTGATTCTCTGTATTACCACACAGTACACAAACAACCCTTATAGAAATCAACACTATCTTTATTTACTCATCTGTATTACAGTCTAATGATGACAAAAGCCTGGCAGGAGTTAGTCCATTTCTTACATCAGAGGAACATTTTCCATGCATCTAACATAAGTTTTTTTTCCTTCATAATGCAACTGCTATAAGTCAAATTGATTCAATTTAATTAACAAGCATTTATGCAGTGCCCAACTGTGCACAGCACTGTATGAGACATATAACAGAGTGAGAAGATATGATCCCTACTCCTAAAGAGCTACAGTCTAGATAGGAAAGATTAGCCATGAATGCAAGAAACAATAACCACTGCGAAAAATCACAGAAAATCAGTATAGATGCTACAGTGAGGATACGGATGTAACATTCTAAGGAATTACATTAGGAGAGTGACATGATTGGGAACAGACGCTAATCTGGACAACGCAATTAGAGGAAGTGAGTCAAGGATTGGAGAACAGTATGACCATTTCACAGCCAGTAGAAGATTGAAGAGGAGGAGTTAAGTCAAAGATCAAAAGTCTGCAAGTCAGCTGCAGGGATGGAGATTGCCTCAGCTCTGGAAAAGGGATGGTGTGAGCTACAGGTTACAGCCCAAGATGAGGAGGGCACTGAATGCTATCGTTCAGTGAACTCAAACTTTAGATAAACATAATGTTTAAACAAGGCTATAAATTAAAGCTCCAACTAAAGGCATTTTTCCCTAATCTCAACAAAAAAAAGTAAAGAACAAACACAGACTACAACAATCGAAATTCAGGGATGGTCATTGGAGGTTAAATGAGAAGACTCTGACTGGACGTCAGTCATTTGTGCTATCTTCTTTTGTTGAACACATAAAGGTCCAGTTTGTCTAAGACCCTCATGACTCCTTATGGTGATAAACTATTGTTAAGTCAGCACTGCAGGGAATATCAAATTACATGTAACACTTCTCCTGAAAGGCTTCTTTCTTATCATACTGAATCCAGCTATAAATACAAAGGTGCTGGGCATATGTGAGGGCTGATGGGTAGAAAGACAAAAAAAAGGGGGAAGGATGTTATATTTTTAAGGTGAGCCAATTCTCTTAAAATTAATATTATATGACATTTATATAGGTAAGAAAGACATCAACTCTATCATATTGATGAATTCATAAGAAAAAACATACACACAAAACAGTGAGTCAATCAATGAATGATCACAGTGAGTATTTCATGCAAATAGTTCCAAATTTAGAGGGAAAATGGTGCTATTGTATCCCCACCCCCAATTTAAGAAACTAAACAGACAGGTGAGAAGAAAGTCCATATGAGGAAATACTGACTTTTAAAAAAGTATCCTATCAATTATACCCAGTAATTTATATCACTAGACCACATCCCCATTTAAACTCAATCTGTTTAAGAATGTGGAGGAATAAAGAAAGAAAGCATCATAACCCAGAGAAGTACATAATATGCTGAGATTCTTCTTGCTTAAGGAGAGCTGATGATCCCTTGATAGATGGTCGTGACTGTGACCTTGATGACCCATCGGTGGTAGATCACAATGCAGCTGTTCCCCAACGCTAGTCCATTGGCCCTTCCCGTCATAGCTCACTACATTCAAAAGGGGAAATGAAGAGTACTTCTGAGCCCCCCAGGATATTTGACAAAGTTATTGGCCACCAGCAGCTGCAGCTGTTTAAAATGAGAGAGAGAAAGAGAGATGAAAAAAAGACATATGAAAATTCAGCTCTCGGTGCACATAATGATTCTAAATGAGGTAGTTTAAAATCTATTATCTTCCCAATTTGTTCTACTTTACAACAATATTTGGAATCTTGTAGTCAAAATATCTCTTATATCATTTTACAAAGTTCTCATAAGTTCTAGAGAAAGGAGAAGGAAAGTGATACTTATTTGGTACATAATTACTGTTTATGCAATAAATATAGAAATCCATTTCTTTTCATTTTTCAGATAAAAGAGTTCCTTTTGTCATTAAATACTCATTACACATTTCTCAATAACTATAAGCATCATGGGAACCAGATAATTATCATGTTGTATATGATTTCATTATTTTAAGCAATAAAGATAATAGTAAGACTTAACTAGAATGTGTGTCATAGAAATCAAGACTTTTCACTCACAATTTTAAAAACTAATCTGGTAAGATTAAATTTCATAGAAGCACTACCCAAGATGCTTCTAAGCTCTCATCTCTCAATAAAACTAGGCAATGCTCATCAATCCCCAAAGGCAAACTGTGTCCCAATGGGCAAACACTCTCCAAGTAATTGTGTGGGTTAACTGGAATCATTATGAAGAAGAATAAGCTCACTGCCCTCTCAGCAAGCTGAGGAAGGTTGTAACGATGACCAGTGCCAGAGGAAGACAAAGTAGCATAGGGAAAAGAGACTATAAAAAGAAGAGAAACTTCAAAAAGAGGAATTAGTATTTTCATGAAGATAAGACATCACTGTCTTTGAGAAGAATGGGATGCCATTTAGATACTAAGATGATTTGGTTAAGTTAAGTTATGGTGGCCGAAGTGAAAAGAACAAAAGAAATTTTGAAAATTAAAGTTAAGAAAAATAGTAATTGTTAAAGCAAAAGGACAGAACATAAGAAATAAATAGGAATTAAAAAATAAACAGGTCCAAGATGCCAAATATTAGGAATTCCACAAGTAGAAAATGAATAGAAAGAAATTACTAATAAATAATTCAAGAAAATTCCAGGTAGTTAAAGAGCTCCAGTTTCCAGAGTGGTGGGGCCCCCTCTTATGCACACAACAGAGATAGGATGTGGAAAAGTGCAATTGGATGAGTAGCAGAAATTTGGACATTGAATTGGTGAAATATAGAAAATTATTAATCTTGAGAAAATTAGTATGGGTAATAATGATATTCCAACCCAAACAAGTAACATGGTCTTAGAGAATGGATGTAAAAAGAGCCAAATCCAGCCGGGCGGTGGTGGCGCACGCCTTTAATACCAGCACTCGGGAGGCAGAGCCAGGCGGATCTCTGTAAGTTCGAGGCCAACCTGGGCTACCAAGTGAGTCCCAGGAAAGGCGCAAAACTACACAGAGAAACCCTGCCTCGAAAAAACCAAAAAAAAAAAAAAAAAAAAAGAGCCAAATCCTTCTTTGCATTGGAATCAGTAATTAATTGATAATAAAAAGAAGAGGTAAAGAAACAACAAAAATGTGCAATTTGGAGATGAATACCTCAAGAACCAAGTGAGAGACCTGAGAAGTTTGTCTTGGTGTAGTTGGGTTGGGAAGCTGAGAACTGTGATGATATATTGTGTCCCCCAATATATTATGTACCTTAATAAAACTTATCTGGGGTCAGAGAACAGAAGAGCCACTATATTAAACGTAGAGGTTAGGCAATGGTAGAATATACCCTTAATCCTAGCATTCTGGAGGTAGAGGTCCATTGGATCTCTGTGAGTTCAAGGCCACACTGGAAACAGAGCCAGGCATAGTGGCACACATCTTTAATCCTAGCACTTGAGACCTCATATCTTTGCTTGGGAAGGACATGAGCCTTTAATCCCAGGAAGTGATGGCAGGAAGCAGAAAGGTATGTAAGGCATGAAGACCAGGAACTGGAGGCTTTTAAGCTTTTAGACTTTTAAGCAGCAGTTCAGCTGAGATCCATTTGGGTGAGAACTCAGAACTTTCAGTCTGAGCATTTGTAGAAACAGGATTGGATGAGGAGTTGTCCAGGAGAGGTTGGCTGTGGCTTGTTCTGCTTCTCTGATCTTTCAGCATTCACCCCAATATCTGGCTCTGGTTTTTTTTGTTTTGTTTTGTTTTTTTATTAATAAGACCATTTAGCAGTTCATCTACAGACAACAGGACTCAACTGTCTAGAATAAGGGAAAAGGGGCTGTTTTTGTAAAAGAGTTCATAATCATGCACATCTCTGCAGTGCTCCTATGTAGCATTGGTTAGGAAAAGACTAGTCTGCAAACTGTATGTCACTGTCATCAATATGTGCTTCTCATGATTGATGTTGCATTTCTGCATGCTGGGAGAAAAAAATATTTTTAAAACTTTAAGCTTAAAGGAGACAAGAGAGTAATCTCTTGAGTCATGCTCTTTGGGACCATCCAGCATTTCCTCCCTTTTCTTAAACAGTTGGGCCCTCTTCAGTGCATTTTGTGTGCATCAGGAAGCTAAACAAACCTATCTCCTGGAATAAGTCTTCACCGGCTACAGCCACCCACTATACTCTTGCCCAGATCCTGTTACTGGGGGGTGGGGTGTCAGTGGGCGCTAGGACCCGAGTGGGCTAGTCTAAAATGAGAAGATCCCACAGAATTTCAAGGAAATATATTCCCTTGCCATTCTCAGGAAGCTATTCAAATTCAAAGCTCAGTGTTCTCTTGGTAGTTAATCCGTGGGCAAGGACTTGGAGGTGGATCCAGTCCTACCACGGAGCAAATCAGCAGCAGTGACACCAGCCTGCTCTTGATGGATTCACATGGAAGCTGGCTCAGTGCTGAGCAGATTCTAAGTGCAGGACTTCAAGTGCAAACTGTGGCTGATGGACCATTCAGACACGTGATCCCAGCTACTTGGGAGGATGACACAGGAGAATGGCAATTTCAAGGCCACCTGGGCTACATCGTGAGTTTAAGACCTGTCTTGTCAACTTAGACCTTGTTGCAAAATCTCAAAAAAAAAGACCAAAAAAACAAAACAAAAACAAACATACAAACAAAAAAACCCACCAGTTTGTAAGAAAGAAAGCATGGAATCTCAGCTCAATGACAGATTTAGCCCAACAATTACAAGGCCTTGGAGTTTTAACCTCCAGTTCAGCGAAACAACAACCAAGTGCTCTGAAGCTCTACAGGGTCTTATTCATGTGGGATAGTAAGTATCTCTTCTTAAAATTAAATTGATTTGAGTTGAATATTTTCAAAATTACTTACAAAAGATTAAAGTTCTACTACTAGGAAGAATTTTAAAGTTAGGAATGAAGTTGTAAATAAAGTTAGGAAAGTTAGAAAAGATTTTCATTCAAGTTGCCATAATTGCGGTGGTGGTAGAGGTGGTGGTGGTGGATCAAGACCTACCATTAGTTTTTGTCAATAAAAGTATCCCTTCTTTGAGTAATGGTGCACTGCCTTATCTGCAGGGCATTAGGTCTAACCTCACCACCATAGATACACAAATCTTAGTTGTAATATTGTTGAATAGTGATGGTAAATAAAAAGCCTTTATGCCCAGTACATTTGCAATTTATTTTTTTTAGAATATTTACAGTACGTAGCCTGTTACATCTTTGAATGCAGGCACTCAGCAGTTGGAAGGTCAACTGTATTTTAAACATTGAAGAGGTTTAGAAAGAAGTATAGCCAGCCTGCTAACATACAACTGCAATCCTAGTTGTTCGGTAGGCCAACGTCAGAAGTTGGCAAATTCAAGGAAAGCCTTGGTTACAGAGTGAGTACAGGGCCAGCCTTGGAAACACAGTGACAGCCCACACCAAAATAAACAAAGAAATAGAGGTCTAAGGACAAAGTTTTGTAGTACAATATTAGGTTGACCCTGGCATCAATCCTCAGTGCTGAGAAAATAATAAAAGTGAAAGGTGCCAAGAACAGAAAACACTTTTGATGGTGAAGATGGTGAGTTGAGAAGTGGATTCCTTTGGTATCATCCCAGTTATAAAACTAGTCAAAATAAGCCCTAAGGCATTTGCTATTTGCACATGACCAGAAGGAAGTATTCATCATTTTCTGTCAGGTTTTAAGATCACTTTTTCATCTGTGCTCCAAAGTTTACACTGTTGAATTTTTCCATCCTTTTTTCTAACCCCCTCCCATGGAAGAGAAACCAACCTCTCCCTTAGATAGAAGCTTGGGAAGATCTGAAACAATAGATGGCGGGAATCGTGGGATAAGCTGCCGAGGGCAATGATGTGCTGGCCATCAAATACCTCATGTGGAGAAAGAAAGAGTACACTCTTAGGGTCATAAAACAAACAAAAACACATCTCCAACCTGCTCGAGCAGCTGCCATTTTCTTGTTTCGCATTTTGTTCTCCAAAGCTTGCTACACAATAAAAAAGGAGAGAAGACTACATTCAGATTTCTTCTACTTGACACTGGTAAAGAAGTTATAAAACATATATGTATATATTAAATTATATTGTACCATTTTCATCTTCTTTTTTAGATCCAGATTTGCTGCTTTCTGGCCCTTGGCGGTAGCATTGAGATAATAGATGGTCAAACTAAAATCAAAATTAAAATAGAATAAAATAAAATTGATAGCATTTCTCAATTTCCCATTATCCTGCTTAAGACTATATTAACCAATACTAGCATGAAATTGGATATAAGGTACTTTCTATCCAAAAGGTGATGTTCTACATGGAAGACCTGAGGTCCAGAGAAGTAAAGAGGTGTACTTAGAACCCATGTCTGGAGATGCTCATTGACTTAGAGAGAGGCTAAAGCAAGAGGATTTCGTGTTCACTGGCTAGGCTACATTGCAAGTTCAAGGCCAAGTAAGGAAACTCAGTGGGACCTTGGGGCTGTAGTAGCAGGTCACTTGTCTAGCATGAGTAAAGCCATAGGTTTCATCCCCAATATCACTGAAATAAAGTGTAGTTAACATTAGACAGCAACTGTGGTGAAGCCAGAAAGTTGGCCCAAAGGTTTCGGATCTGCCACCTAGTATGCCATCCACAATTCCACAATTCCACAATTCCACAAGGCACAATATTAGCTTCTTGGAAGTGTATTATCATCAGTTTAAATTCTAATTGCAGCCGCCTTCTGAACAACGGCAATAGCAACAATGAAAACGGCAGGTCTGCTGAAGGTTTATACCTTGAACTCACCATTTGGCCTTTAGTCTTTACAACCAAGAATGCAATCCTCAAGGGCATACCTTCGTTAACATGGATTTTTTCCCCATAGAATACATTTGCATTTCTCCCTCCCTCAAAAAAAAAAAAAAAACACAAAAAAACGAAAAAACAACAACAAACAAAACCTGTTTCACCAAGGAATAACTTTGGATTTTAAATGGCATTTACATTTCTAGAAAAAGTAAATTCCAGCTCAACAATTCTGACAAAATAAATATCCTCATTTTCTCTTTGGGCAAAATGAACCAGCAAAGGGGAACTGTAGTAAAAAGGAAAGATGGCTGTTGCTGGCCTCACTACAAATAACTGGAGATTAAACACATTCTCTCTGCCCACCCACATGCCAGAGTATATCCTTTATGAGCCATCTGGTGCTGGCAGCATAATTATTGACACACTTTAGTTGGGTTTATCTCTTATGTGGTTAGCTAGAGTTTGCCTGAAATTACATATATGAAAACATCTGGGGCAGCATCTGGCATGAAATTGTGTGTGTGTGTGTGTGTGTGTGTGTGTGTGTGTGTGTTTGTGTGTAGAGTAAGAATTTTCTTGGAAAAGTCTCTGGACATAGGTGAATGTTAGTTTCTCTTTCACAAATTATTTTCAGTTCTGGGATTCCCTATGCATCTTAAATGAGTGTGCCTCACATACACTTCCTTGCCTCACATTCACTGACAGCACGTACAGAAAACTAACCTAAACGCTGTTCAAATACTGAAAACCATCCAAGTGATTTAATATAATCTACTGGGAAATTCAAAATGCTTGTAACATTCTCTAATTAATGGTAATAAAAATCTAAGCCAATTGTTGGGGTCCCTTAAAGAAGAACGTGAGACAATGGAGTTTGGAGGAAAAAATCAATAGTAAACTGCAATCTGGATTTTAAGTCTGCAACTCAGAGCAAAATTCACCTCTTTGAGCACGTCTTTTTAACCCTCATACTGCTGCCTTCCCTCAGTGTCAAGGACCGTGAAACTATGCCTCACGCATCAGAGTCAGCACTCCAGAGTACTTTCTTTAGTTCTTGAACCAAGAATGTTCTTTACATCTTTAGATGTTTAGGTCATGACCAGTTTTGTCTCTCTTCCTATACTATGTACTTCTGGATCTTTAGGAGTATGCCCTGAGTCTGCCAGATATGCCAATTTTGACCATTGGGCCATAAGTGTCCCAGGATAGCTACAGACAAGGCTCAACACCTGTGTAGTTTACAGTGTTATGTGGCAGTGTCAACAGCTTTTGGACACCCTTGAATCATTCCCAACAAGTGACTTTAAGGCCTTTGGAGAGTCCCACTGATTCCAAACTTAGTTGGTGCAGATGAGCAGAAGGAATCAAAGCAAGAGGGAGTCTGTGCTGCGCTGATCAACACTTCATTTGGAGCAGACCATCCCTGTGCTAATGACAATGTGATTAATACAGGTATTTCTTATGACTATTTTGGTGAAAATCAGTCACTGTAGGGTACCTGAAACAACAGCAACATACATTCTTGATGTAGTGTGATGGATTTTTAGACAGGCATTACAATAGTGTTGTCTTTTTGTTTAAAAACAAATTTCACAGCAAATTACAAACGTAGTAGCAAGGGTTGCCCTTTGCAGTCTTTGTGTCTGCCTGCCTGCCTATCTGTCTGTGTCAGACAAGATCTCATCTGTACTATTAAAGAGATTTGGAAAACAAAGTCCACAGGATCCTTATTGACATGCTCTCGGAAACCACACTCTCAAGAAATTGTGGAGAAAGAAAATCAATTCAAGGGCCACCTGGTGATTGATGCTTCCAACCCGTATAATCCAGAGACTAATTCTGATTCTTAATAAGGTTCTACGATGTGTAACAGTAATCTTTGTTACTGTTAAATTAGCTCTGAGTTAGTATCTCTCGCACATGGAAGGTGTTGGCAAGTAAAGGTGTAGACATTGAATTTACTGGAAAGGGTCTGCCTGTGTCCCATCTCACTTAGGAATGAGCATGTCAGTCATGTTTGTTAATTTATAAAAGTGAAGATGGCCTTATTCTCACCACTTTCTGTGACTATGACCATAAAAATGGCCATGGGGAATGGTCACGATAACTGGGTCAGCATCCAGCTTGTTTACTTTAAGCCAGTTGAAGTTCAGCTCAATTTTTTGTTCCTTTCACCTTTAAGTTCAATCTTCCACACCAACCTTGTGGGTACAGCATCCCTGGAAGGAGCTTTATACGTGTTGCTCTTGACCTAAAGCAGCAATTATTCCAGATTTTCTCATTAAGAGGGGCTGGTAGGTGAAGAGGAGAGTGTCTCTCTTAGTTCTTTCAGAATACGAATATTTTGTACTGCTGAAGCCCCAAGTGAAGGGAAAAATAGGAACAAAATCCTTCTGCTAAACGTCCTTTTGTAAATCCCTCTGACTTTGCAGGGATAGTCCAGATAACTGGGAGACGCTCTGCTCCTCTGATTCTGTTACTATGGATGCATAGTTATTGACAGCCCTCTAAGAAAAAAAAATAATGGGGTAATTTTTAATGCTCCTTAGCCCTTTAGCCCTAAAATATAGCCTTGAGGGTTCCCAAGGGGAATATTAGCACAGAGACTCATCATCTCTGTATTCACAGCCATCTGCTTTATGGAGCAAGAGGTGGGGGCCATGCTGTGAAGGGAAACTCAACATGCTGATTAGATTTAGCATTTAGCATTTATGTTTCCCTTGCTTTAGCTGTTTACTGATAATGATTTTGGTTACTTGGGAACAAATCTTATAATCCTAGGGAGGCAGAGACTGCTGCAGATGGCTGTGAATCACATCCAGCAGGAGCAGAAGCTGGCCCGCATTGTGTAGCGTCGACCGTCATGTAGTCAGGATTGGAGGGGAAGGGACTCAAATGGAGCCCGAGAACAAACACATACACCATCACCAGAATGACAGCAATGACCAGGCCGGGGTTAGAAAGCTGCCTCAGGATCTTCGCCATCCAGCTCGGGAAATCATGTTCCAGGGTCTCACCGATGACTTCAAACATCCTGTTTTTACCACTGGTGGTGGCAGTGGGGCATTGAATTTAAAACAAAGGTAGAAAATATGGTTACAGCGAGATAAGTGAATATTTCTCCAACATTGCATAGGTTCTCTTGTGGGTTAAAGATCTGATAGTAAGCTGCACATCTAATACTCTGACCACATCTTGTTAATGGAAGAGTATAATATGAGCAGAGCAGTCCTGTCCCGATACACGCGCAGAGGCAAAACACTTAGGAAAATTACTCACAGCTTCAGAAGAATTTTTAATATTCTACTGCTAAAATTTTGATTGAATGGTATTTTATGTGTGGCAAATAAATCGCTCCCAAGGCAGCTGCTCTGGGAGGAAGCTCTCTCTGAACTCAGTATGCAGTACACTCAGTTTTTAATTGGCTTTGGAAATGAACACAAGAAACAGACTGGTGGAATGAAATCTACAAATAATCCAACATCTCATTCCACACCACTGCTGCTGCTCATTGCCCATCAGACTTCATTTATCAGAGATCTAAGTCAGCCACAGTCCTGGAGGAGGAGTCCTTCACCCTCAGGTCTCTGATGCTGGACAGCTCCCAGCAAAAACCAGTGAAGGGTTTAGGTTCTCGGAAAATCAGCTCCTCTGAACTAGAAGAGAGCGAGCAGAATGTTTTAACTTAGTGTGGAGTGTCTAGAATTAGTGAACTATTCATAGTGCCAAGTTACTCCCTTTGAATATGTATACTGATCCTACTATCAAATAGTGAATGTTGTATTTCACAGAAAAAGCGAAATAGGCATACTTTCAGTTTAAAAGCTAGTGTAGTATTATATATGTCTACTTTTGTTTTTTAATCTTTTTTAAATAATTTTTTATTAAGAGATTTCCTATTCCTTTTACATACCAACCACATATTCCCCTTGTCCTCCCTCCTCCCACTCCTCAGTCCTTCCCCCCAACCCACCCTCCATTCCCACCTCCCCCAAGGCAAGGTCTCCAATGGGGTGTCAGCAGAGTCTGGTACATTCAGTTGAGGCAGGTCCAAGCCCCTCCTTTCTGCCCCAAAACTGTGCAAAGTGTCTCTAGGTTCCAAAAAGCCGGTTCATGCACTAGGGACAGGTCCCGATCCCACTGCCTGGGGGCCCCCTATTTTAATCTTTTAATATTTAAACAACATGGATATGCCCCACAATTCCCAGATCATATGGAGTTTTTTCCTCACTTCGGATTAGACTAATACTGTCTTTCAACAGGCATGGTGTGACCCCAAGTAGTTATCAGATTATGGATTATAGTATTTTCCTTTACAAAGGACACATGACACATAAAATCTAACTGTGAGTAACTAATTGTGATAGTAATATCAAGCACTGTGCTCACTGTTACAGCCCCACATTTTTTAGTGTATGACTTCAGATTGAGACCTCTAAACATGAACAAACGATCAAATGCCAAAATGTTTGGTGTTCTTGTTTTTAGGTCTTTGGGAGTACGAGCAGTATTTAATTACCAAATATTTCTAAACTTTTCAAGTTATATAGGATGATTGTTTTGCAGGAAGAAAAATATAAAATTGCTACAATATAAGGAGAAGGGCAGGAGAAACTGAAGAACTATAAACTGTTTGGAATTATTGATGAAGATGTGAGGAGGCTATCAAATTGGAGGAAACATGGCTGAACAATTAGATATATTTTCTTCATACTGTTGTCAAAGAAATAGTTTTTAAATTACCAACAGTTTAAATTAAATCCCTTTAACAACAGTTTTAATGGTCTTCTAGAAAACTTAGCAGAATGTGCTGGAAAAGCTCATCAAACTATTTCTTTGGGTAGATGAGTGGGATGTAGACACCTCAGCTCAAAACACACCAGTGGCCCGAGAATAAGACAGCACTGGTGTCCTCAAATTCAAAGCTGAGGACAAAATTCTAGTTCCATGTTAACCTCCTGCAAATTCACGGTTGCTGGCTTGCTGCCCAGCCAGGCACCAGATGTGGTCTAAAAGCCTTCCCTCAGCACAAGGGTAATACCGCAACACTCAGTTCCTAAGGGTAGCAAACCATAGGAAATGCGATTCCTGGCCTCATTCTAGAACACAATTTTAGCCTTTCTGAACCTTGGAGTGAGTGTTGGGGAGGCAGGCCCAGGGGGTTGTGTGGGGGCAGGGGTTAAGCATTGGTGTGCTCCAAAAGAAGGAAGGAAGCTGCAGGAAACTAATTGGAAACAACATACCACTTTCTGATGCTCCACTGCAAACATGCAGTGCTTTCTGATCTCAGAATAATGATATTCATAGCCATTTCACCTAAATGTGCCAAGCAGAAATTCATGGTAAAAGTCACATACTACGCCATTCTTGTCATCTTTTGTTTCCCGGTAAAAATCAGTGTAAGTTGGTATTGCTGAGGAACCCAGGAAGCCAGAAAGCCAGAGGGAATGCAACTTAAGAAGCTAAAATTGTACAGTCATTGCATGTTTCTGCCTAATAATTCAAGTCTGAATCCAGCTGTGTCACGACCCAGCTTAGCATTTACAATCCCCTCACTTTGCATAAAAGAGTAACGGTTCTTTCCCGTGTTTTGCTGGGGAGGATGAAGATCAACTTCCTAGTACAAGGTAAAAACATCTTTAAAGTATACCTTAGATATAAAATCACATGAGTAAGTTTCAGTTAATGGAAGACTTTTCAAGGGCTTGTTTGAATTTTGTTTTCAGATTAAGATGTCAGCTTCAAGACTGCAATTTCCTATTTAGTCTCCAGATGTCACTGTCTGCATTATTTATTTCAGCCTACTTGCCAACAGATATGTGAGCATATGTATGCTTGCACATGCACACACAGTGTACAAGCAAACACATAGAAAAAGAGACAGATGTGCAAGGCTTATCAATTTCAGTTTACTGAGTCTGATAAACACCAGCTAGTTGTGAACTATTCTCAGAACAATAACTGAGGCAATTATTGGTGTGAAAACATGCCCCTTTTATACTTAGTCTTAGGCAAGAAACCTTCTGACAAGAAATCTCTTGAGTGTGACAGCACAAAGGGAAAATTCTATTTGACCATTAGAGCATTGCGTCTGGCATTTAGAAGGCTTCCTGCCTTCACAGTCTCTTCACATCAAATGCATGCTGACCAGTAACAACCTGTAGAGATAACTGGGGGACTCATGATAGGCTCATGAGTAGCTTTGAAGGAAGCAAAGCTAATTCCTGAATTTTGCTTACTGATTGAGTAACCCATAGATAGAAACCAGATGTAGAACTAAGGAGCATTCCAATGTTCAATTCATGGAGTCCTTTTGGATCACAATGTATAAAACTCTCAGCGTGCATCATTATTTAATAATGATTCCACTTCTTACTTAATAAGTGGGAAATCTATTTTCTCAAGGTCCAGATGAAATCTAATCATATTCATGTGTGGATAGGATGATGTTATAATGGCAGGCAAACACTCATGTCTAGACTAGTATAGTCAAGTGTTGCTCTTGACTCTCCCCAATATGGAAACAGCAGGATTTAGCATCTATATTGTATCCTTACAGAACATTTTCCCTTTATGACTCTCAAGTGAGACAATAAATGGAAATTGTCTGACACTCTCCATGTCACATGATGACATGAGTACCAAAGAATCTCTTTTTGACCAATGACAAATGTCATGTTTGAAAAGCCTGTACAATGAATAGCCATTCCCACTTCAACTCCAAATGAATACTATGTTCAAGTCAAATCTGAAATATGAGAGACCTGAAGGGCCCACAATCAAAAGATGGCGGGAGGGAGACGATCATGTACAGGACGGGCATGGTGGACAGGAAGAGGATGAGCAGCAGCATGCCAAGGTAGAAGTTGTTTGATCTGGAAGCTTTAAAGACTCTGGCCTCGGGAACATTGCAGCACATCACAGCCCAGCACTGAAAATACATGGATGTGTGGAGTCGGAGGATGTTGATACCTGGAAGACTAGGGGCAAAGAAGGAGCCCATCCTGGAAAAGAATCACAACACTGCTCAATTCCAAGTCCATCACCAAATTGCACACAATCTGCTCATTTTACATTGCTCCTCTTACCAAAATCAAAAACCATGTTGCTAGACACAATCATAAAGACCTTGTCTATAAATTGTCCTGACTACCCTACTCCCACCTTGTAAATAAGTTTTACCATTTCCCCTATCTGTGTGTATTTTATGTAATTATTCCATAGAAATTGTCATAAACTAAATCTGTTTCATTAGCAAATGCAAAAACCAAGAGTAAACAAATGTTACAATTCTTTTGCTTCCTTATTTCTTCTGCTGTTAGTAAACTCAATTCCCTCCAATATTCCTATCACTGACTAGCATATTTCAAAATAGAAGTTTTCAAATGATAGACCTTTAAGGGCTCCCATTCTTTTCAAATAAACTGCACATTTGGTTTAGTCACTTTATCCCCAGATAATTTCTGCTAGTGAATGAGAAAAAATGTATTCTAATGCTATTTTATCTTCATAGTAATTATGGTGCTTTAGAGCTCATGAGAGAGATATTGATACCTAACATTATAATGCATTCATTGAAATCCATTTAAATTTAGTTCTTATTAATCTAGAAAACACAGATTTGTGTTTCTAACTGTTTAAAAGTTCTATAAAATATTATTTTGAACTGAAACTGCTTAGGTGATGTCATTTTTACTTGATGTCTTAGTTGGTCACTTCAGAAAAAAATAATTTCAGTTTAGTTTGAGGAGAAAGCTCATTCGCACAGTAATATGAGCTTCAATATATCAGTTTAAAATCAAAAAGAACTCTATACTTATTTCATAATTAGAGGGGAGCCCTATTTTTTAACTGTCCCAACTATAATAAAGCCTTTAGAACTTTAGTTTTAATAGTTTGTACTTCCTTAGTACACATAATAGCTGTTTAACTAAGTGTGATATCTTTCAATTGTCAACCTGACACAAGCTAGTATCAGCTGGGGAAAGAATATCAATGAGGGATTGTGGTGATGTTTTGTGTATGATCTAACAAATAAAGCTTGCTGAAAAAATCAGAGAAGCAGAGCAGCCAGCCACTAGTTCTTCCCTCTATGAAATCCTCAGCCAAAAAGAGCCCTGAGCTCCTTTCTCCTCCTTCCTTATATTCCTCTCTCTGTCCAGTCATATGTCAATATCACTTCCTGTCTCCACTTCCCTAGTGCTGGGATTAAAGGCACAAGATCTTAAATGCTGGAATCAAAGGTGTGTGCTACCACTGCCTGGCTCTGTTTCTCTTTTAGACTGGATCAATCTTGTGTAGCTCAGGGTGGCCTTAAACTCATGGAGATCTGTCTGCCTCTCCCTCCTGAGTGCTGGAATTAAAGTGGTGTGCCACCACTACCTGGCCTCTATGGCTAACTAGTGACTGGCTTTACCCTCTGATCTTCAGGCAAGCTTTATCTGTTAGATCACAAACAAAATATCACCACGAGGGATTGTTCAGATCAGGTTGACTGGTATGTCTGTGGAGAATTATCTTGATTACATTAATTAATTTGGAAAGACCTGCCCACTCTGGGTGGCACCATTCCCTAGGCAAATGATCTTGAACTAAAGTAAGATGAGCACATGTATTTATGTAGTCATTCACTGTTCTCTGCTTTGTATTGTAGATGGAATATGACTAGCTTTTTCAAGTTCCTGATACCTTGACATCCCTGATATGATGGGCTGTCACATGGAATTGTGATCTATAATAAATCATTGGTTCTGTAAATTTCTTTTGTCAGAGTATTTTAATCACAACAGGGAGAAAAACTAAGAAACTAAGTCAATGAAAATTTTGTATTCTAAAGAGACATTTTTTAAGTAGGAAAAAGAAGTTATCTTATTGCACTTGAACCATCCTAAAGTTAATCCTTTCCTTTGAAAAATGAAATCTTACCACAATTTCAATTATCTTGTTTGTAAGATGCCAAGCAACAAATTCAAATGATGTCATAATGAACTGACTGCAAACTTCGTAAGAAGTTATTTTTTAATGGGAAGATAAATTTTAAAATATCACTGTGTAACTTTGAACACATGACTGTGTAACTAGCAAGAGAGAAATTGGCACTCAAAAAAGAATAAGTTACCAATTGTCCCAGTTAATTAGAATTAGAAAGCTTAGCACCCGGGACTGATCAGGTCCACCCTGTTCTAAAACTCAGGGTTGTGTATGTGACTTGTTAGGACTGATAAAAGATGAATACACACAAGATACCTCAGTGCTGGGTAAAAACTTTACCAGTCCTATGTGGTTGTGTGTTCTTCTCTTCCAACTGCCCTGAGAGCAATGTTCCAGGTAAAGGCTATTCCATCAGTAAACATCTCTAAAGGATAAGGCAGGGGATCAGAGTGCTTCCTCAGCCCATACCAGATATTTTATTTTTCTAAGTTGTGAAGATGTAAGGTGTTTTGTTTCATTTATGTACAATACAAGTCCATGACAAAATTTTGCACATAATTCAAAAATCTAAGTTTTCCTAAAACTACCTACCTCTCTCTGTGTGTATACATGTATACACAGGCTATATGTAAATAACTTATAAGACTAGAGGAATGTCCATCATAGAATCTTGCCTCTTTCCCTATAATCCATTTGTGGTGGAATGTGGGATAGTTATGTTAAGCATAATTATGACTTGATTGTTGTTTTCATTTGGAAGTTAAGCACAATATAAGGAGATATGATTGTGTGTCAGTTTGACAAGAAGTGGACTTCTGATGAATACTCTTGCTTGTTAGCTTGACTACATTTGGAAGTAACCAAGACCCAAGCAACTTTGCATACCTGTGAAAGATTTTTCTTGGTTGGATTATTTGAGCTGGAAGACCCAGGGTAAACCTGCATCAATTGAAATCAGAAGATCCACCTCAAATCCGAGCCACACCTTCTGGTGGCAGCCCATATGAAAAGAACATAGAAGAAGGAAGCTGTGTTTTCTGTCTGCTTGCTCTCGCTCTCACTGGCAAGTTCATCCATACTGAGGTATCTTTCCCTGGTGTTAGAACCTACTTCTTTGGAATTCCAACATTAACTGAAAACTTCCAACTGTGTAGGACCTCGCTGAGACTCCAGCACCAGATTGGGACTGCTAAGACATCGAGTCTCATGGCCTGAACTCTCACTAGATCTTTGGCCTTTCTGTCAAGAGACAGCCGTTGCTGAACTACTCAGACCACAGCCTGTAAGCCACTCTAAAAATCACATATATGCATATTTCATTCTATTAGTTCTGTTCCTTAGAGAACCCTGACTAATACAATAAGTTTACAATAATTTCAAAAGAAACATAGACATGATGAGCACATGACTTGACAGGCATAACCTAGGAAAGCAAGTCCTGGCACAATAATGCCTCAGTCTTAATGGTCACCTCATCTTGGTTTGTGACTTATAATCAGCTCATCCCACTAAGACCCTTAGTCAGACCTAATGCCATCATCTGTCAGCTAAAAACATCATTACACCATCTTAGCTTCATCAAATGACTTTCTTCTAAGATGATAAAAGCAAAGGGAAGCATTTTTATTTGGCCTGTCTTGCTGCTCCAGAGCCATGCATATATCACATAAATTACTCCACCCCGAACACCTGAGAAAATGAGGAGAGAAAGGTGACAGTCTGGATGGAGGAGACCCAATGGATCTGAAACTCTTCTCTCTCACACCATCATTTAATATTTACTGCCTTTCTATATTCTGCTCTTTTAAAAATATTATGTGCTTTTCCCATTTCAGCATATTACAGAAAATACATTTTAAACTAAGTGTGCAAATGAAGGTATATTGATCATTAAGTTAAATCTCAACAAATGCTTTCACTTTAACGATACTTGTGTAAGTAATCTGCAATCTTCAGCAACTCTTAAAGCAATAATTTAATGTTTCAAGTCACAAACCAATGGAATAGAACATAAAATTCCCTATCATGTTTTGATTGTTTTAAAAGAAAATGGCTAATGGGCACTAGCTCCTCATGTTTAGAAACTAACAGAATCATGGTATGTGTGGACCCTGTGCAGAAAAAATCTGCTATTTTTACATGTTACCCTCCCCACACCTTCCTACCATACCACTCACCAACTTCCTGGAAGTTAGGCAAAGAATATCCGTGAAAAATACTAATCTCATGGTAAGTAATAGAATAATAGTTATTTTGCCTCCGAAACTCAGGGGTGTGTCTTTCTTTGTTATACTCACAAAACACTAATCACTTCTTGATCTTAAGATCTGGAGGGATCTGTTTCATTTATGCACAGCCTACTTGAGTCTAAGACAAAATTGAGTATGTCATTTAAAAATCTAGACTTTCCTAAAATTATATACCCTTGTACCTAAAGTCCTAATCAAATTCACTACAAGCAAGCCTGACCAGTGTAGAAGAACAAACACAAAGTGGTGATACAGAGATTTCAAGCATGCAGTTTTCTGTTCATTAACAAACTGTAAAAAACAATTATATTTTCTCAGTATTGTAGTATGAACAATAGCAGACTAGTCACAAAATTACAAGCAAAATCAACCAGGGTAGCAATTACAATGGCTTTTCTGACAATAAAAGTGATTTCTAGACCAATCTGCTGTGCTAGCTCTGAAAAAACAATAGACATTCGGCTTAAGTCCGCACCGGTGGCATCACCAGTCCAGAGGCATTGATGGCACTGTATGGATGCCGCAGGTAGGAGGAACAAGTTTTGCATCAGTCTAGTAGCTGCACTACCCACTTTCTGCCATGGAAGATGCTTCTCCTCTGGGAGGTAAAAAAGATCAGAACCCATAGGAGCTGCTCCCTCACTCTGCTGAGCCTGTGAGTACTCAGGTCAGCCCTCTTTGTCATTCTTCTCTACGTGGAGAATAAAGGATGTGTTGTACTCCTTAACGACTCTCCGGACACAGGAGCCATATTTTCAAAACACAGAAAGTAAGGGAGGGACAGGAATTACATTCTTAACTATGTCTGACCTGACAGCCAAGAAAAATATTTGTATATTTTGTATTATTTGTACTGGTTCACCTTTGGAGGCAGAAACTCAACAGGTCCCATTGGTGGAATGATGGAGGCTTGGGAGTGACTTTTACTTTACTGAAGCAAAATGGCTTTCCTGTTTGCAGAGTGCTCCAGGCTCTCTCAGCATTCACTGGGTCTAATGATTCTGACTGACAGATTTGAATGATATATGAAGCTAATTTAAAAAAGAAACACCAGCTGAAGCTATCCTGGCACCTGAGATAGGACGGTGGTGTAGTTAGTACAATGCTGCCTTCAGCACATGTCCCTAGGAAGACAAAATAGCTTGACTGTAACTGCCTGTGGGTTGGGATGCTCAGCAGAGAATGACAGATTCTAAGACACATCATCCCCAGATGAATTGCATGCTGTGATTCAATTTTTAAAACTCAAAACTGGCTTTCACTCTATCAACTTATCATAACCTGTCAGAATTTAGAGTGAAAATGCCTCCACTTAATAGAAGACATGACAATCTTTTCACATCAAAATAAAAATTCCCTTGTGCAAATGGCCCTGTTCAACACATTACAAAATGAAGATCTTATTTTTAACTTGAACTTCCTAAAATAATGTTGTATCTAGATCTAGAAGGTGCTGGATTTGGTAAGATTTTTTAAAAGTTATTAAATATGCTTTTAATGTGTTTAATAGTGACAAGAAAATGTTATCAATTTTTTTTCAAAAGCCATATACAACAACATAGCTCATTCCTTCCAGGTGCTAATGTGATTGACCATTGATGAGTGACAGTTTCCTGTTCAGTCCTGGTGTGACAAGATGTAAGAAGAGAATCTTCAAATCAGTCCAGCAGAAAGAACACAGACTCTCAATTTTTATTAAAGGAGAACTCTGCCAAACAAGCTGATGATTTAAAATATGGAAAAATTAAGCTCTCCACACCACCCATCTACCTAGGAAAATAAAGAGCTGGAATCCACAGAATGGGGTCTTCTCTACACCTAGCTGCAATTCCTTCTACAGCAATGACCTTGGAGACTTTCCCTATGTGCTTAAGTGTCCACCAGCTGACATACCAGATCATGCCTTGGTTGAAGATCAGAGCGAGGACATTGCCACTGATGTCAAATTCTGTGTATGAAGGCTAAAGAAAACACACACACACGCGTGGGTTAGCATTTCAAACTGGAAGCAATCAGAAAGTGGCTTCACATCAAAACACCTAAGCCCACTACACCCCTTCAACAACAGCAGCAGAAGAATAACTAGAATACATAGAACGAGAAGGATGTAATGCTTTTCAACACACAAAGATTCATTTTCAAACTCAGTCATAGGGCTGGCAAAATGGCTTCATTGGTGAAGGTGCTTGCTGCCAAGCATGACAACTTCCATTCAATCTTGAGGCGCACATGGTGGAAAGAGAAAAAAAAAAACCAGCAACAATAACAAAAATCCCTTAACCTGTTCTCTGACCTCTACACATGTGCCCATGGTATGTGTATGACATCCCCAAATGAGAGTATGACAGGGCACTGTCTTCTACCTGAATGATGAAAGTAAAAACTGAATCCTAATTGTTAGAAACAGCTTGACAATACATTTTAAAGGCTTTTACAATCCCACTTTCTCTGATCTGGTAAGTCTACTTGTAGGAATTGTCTTAACAATGTTATCTGAAATGCTGATAAATTTTAATGAGGAGTGATGAAACCATTTATGTGACCAACATTAGATACATACAATATACTTGTACCATGATATGCTGTTGCTGATAACTTTGGCCAGTTTGGAAGGCTATTATATCAGTGAAAACTGTGCTCTAATGTTAAACAAAAATATATTGGTCTACTATTTAGTATATTCATGTATTATTCTTTAAGAAATCCTGTGTGGCACTGTAAGTAGAAAAAAGACCAGTAAGTCATCAGCAAATGGGAGTGACACAGAAATTTATATATTTAACATTTTTTTCAACAAAAGTGTGAATTAACTTTACAATAAAGTAAATATAGAAAGAAAAATACAACAAAATATAGAAAATACTAAACTGAATGCCCAGTTGCCATGTCATAAACAACCCTGTCCAGCTCAGGGCAGCAGCTCCAAGCTGCCCTTGCGTTAAGGCCACCCAGTAGTATTGCAGTAGACACCTGTCCAAGGGCAACCCAGCCAAAGGTTTCCTAGTAATACATGAGCTGTCCTATTAGGAAAGCTTCTAAATCAATGGACTTCATGCTAACTAGCATGGTCAATACAATTGGCTCCTTCTTCATTTGAGATAGAGAATTCAGGGTAGACTAACAAATTGAGCATAGGAATTAAGAGGGCTAGGAAGAGTGCATGAGAGAAACATGGAGTGTGGCAGGTTCTAACAACAGTGCAGATCCTACTCTTTTCAGCCCCAATAACAACTCTGTCCCTCAACATATGCATACATAGATATACATATATACATTACACACATATAAATATACACATATATTATCATGCACACATTCATACACAAATACATGCATACTCATACGTATATATACATACATCCACATGTGCATATACACATACATGTACACAAATATACATACATATACATGGGCACATATACATAAACATACCACAGTGACCAGAAAGTATCTCAATTTTTTTTATGCATGAGAACTCACAGGCAATATGGAAATAAAAGGGTGGAAGGAGAGAATAACCAGAATGCATTATGTACACATCTGAAATTGGCAAAGAACTAAGTTAAATAATATCAGAAGGTACATGTAAGAAGATATAATAGGTCTCTGATATGAATGCTCAACAAAGCTATCCCTGTCAAGGCCTCTTGTCAAAACTCTTACGAATTCAAGCCTCATTTATATTACTTTTCCCAAAAACAATTCTATTTTTCCTTCACAACTTAAAAACATGGACAGTCTACCTTGAAACAGATCCAGGGCACAAACAGCAAATGTGACAGAATAATAATGCTTAAATGAGATAAAATGGTAAGATGAGACATAATGAAGAACAGCCCTGTGTGTTCAATAAGGACAAAGATGACCTGGATAATTTCAATATAAACTTATTCAAGACAGTGCTAGAGGATACATGTAAAGTATTTAGTCTGAAGTTCTTTTGCGAGCATAATGTTCACAGGATACAAAAGGTTTAGCCTAAAGCTTGTGTTCTAAAATCAACAATAAAAGTGTCCTTCACCTCCAAAGTCTGTGGGAGTAGAGCTGTAACTTAGCTGATAGAACACTTACCTGACATGCGCAAAACCCCACCTGGGTACCCTAGCCCCAGGATAAAATGGGCATGGTGTGCATGCCTGCAATCTGAGATTTGGGAGGCAGAGGCAGGAGGATCAGAAGTTCAAGATCATTCTCAGCTACACAGCAAGTCAGAAGCCAGCTTTGGATGTGTAAGACCCTGTACAGATAGATGAAAAAGGAGAGAGAGAGAAAGAGAGAGAGAGAGAGAGAGAGAGAGAGAGAGAGAGAGAGAGAGAGAGAGAGAGAAGAAAATAAAAAAAAGAAAGAGAAAAGAAAATAGAAAAAAGAAAGAGAGAGAGAGGAAAGAAATTAGAAAAAAGAAAAGAAAAAAGAAAGAGAGAGGTATAGAAGGAAGGGCAGAAGAAAGATGAACAGAGGGAAGGAGGGCAAGACAGGGGGAGGGAGGGAAGGAAGGGAGAAAGGAAGGCAGGGGAAGAAACCAAGAAGTACCTCTCTCTGGACAATACAAGCTCCAGATCTCTCCATTCACTGGAGTGCTTTGTTCTGTACTGTCTAAGCTTTTTGCCTGGAGCTTGATTTTTACCCAGAGCCTGTGTTATTCCAAAACACATTTGAAAACTGCTCAGTTGGGTGGTCTGCACCATCTGTGACCTAGAACAGCTTCTTGCTGTCATTTCAAGAATCAAACCTTCAACTGGGGTCTCTTTTGGTAGCAGGATTTAGCTAAGTATGGGACATGTAACAAGTTGAACCTTTTAAGTGCTTGTCTTTTTATTCTCCCACCAAGCCATTTAAAATGAGCCATTTGACACCTAGCTAGCTGACTAGAAGAGCAAGAAGGAGGGGCTGGAGATACAGCTCAGTGGTTAAGAGCACTTGCTGCAAAGGACCTCAGTTCAGTTCCCAGCACCCACATGGGAAACCTCACAAGTACCTGTTGTTGGAGACCAACTCCGGACAGCTGTGTCTTGAATTTTGTGTGACCTTCCTTACTTTATCAAACCTTGCAAAAACAGGTTCCTGGCCTAACCGAGGGCTGTACAACTTCCTGGAGTACGTGCTAATCAGCCAGCTGCAGGGGCCTGGGACCAAAGCGACCTCACCCTTCCTTAGGAATTTTCCATTCTTCTCTCCATTTGCTTCCCCTGCTCCCCCTCCCTGCCTGAAGCCCTGCTTATAAGCCTCAATACCCAGTCAATAGACGAGACCTTGACGCGACTCAGACTGACTCTGTCTTCCTTTATGGCGCCTGGTCTCCTTTCTCTCTCACCCCCATTGATCTTTCAGGAGGTGCCTCCTCGGGTCTCCCCAATAACCTGGCCTGCGGGACGGGTCAGAGGGGCTGGAGAGACAGCTCAGTGGTTAAGAGCACTTGCTGCAAAGGACCTCAGTTCAGTTCCCAGCACCCACATGGGAAACCTCACAAGTACCTGTAACTGCAGTTCTAAGAGATCCAACACCTTTCCTGGCTTCTGTGGGTACTAATACACATGTACTTCACATTCAAACAATGATACTCATACATGCACATATAAAAAAATAATAAATCTTAAACACACGGGGCATACTGGGAATCCCCTGGCCTCCCCAACACAGCGAAAGTTACTAAAGGGGTAAGGTGTTGGTTTTCTAAACTGACAGGAAGCAGCGAGGTTGCAAGGGTGTCCTCTGTGCCCTGTCATCTTCTGTTTAGACACTTAACTTGGATTTACATTTGCTCCAATGTTTCCTGAGTACGTGAGGTGGGCCAGTCATTCATCTCTTGAGGACCCAGTTTCCGCACAGAAAAATCAGTGAAATAAAATAGACCCGGAGTCAGCGCATTACAGCCCATAAACTGAAGATGGATGGCCATCTGCTTTTGTAAGTGATTTTTTATTAGAATAAAGCTGCACCTACTCTTCATGCATTGTCTCTCACAGATTTAGAGTAAAACACAGCTTTTTGGCTGAAGCAGAGAGTGTATCAGTCACAAAGTCGAAAACATTGCCCATCCCTTTTCAGAGAACAGCCACCAATTCCTGACTAGAAATTTTCTGACATCCTTTCGTAACCTAAAATCTGATATTTATTAAAACTAAGCCTGGTTATTTAAAAAATTGCTTCTCTGTAAACACTTTAAAAATGAAATTCAATATGTCATGTAGTAAGCACATAACACCTCACTTTAAAAATGACACATTTATGAGAAGGCAAGAAGCTATGTAGATATGTATGATTCAGTGTTCATTCTTTTAGAGGAAGCTTTTTGAAAACATGAGATTATACTATATTTAAAGTATGAAGAAAATACTTCACCAAATATAAATTAATTTGCAATATGTTTAATTGCCTCTGAAATGGGAAAAATAATGCATTAAAAGTTAGATAGTGCATGAGAAAGGGAGAAATCAGCATGTTTACGTGAAACCTGAGGTAATGAAATGAGAGTGGTATAGGAAGTTCACCCATGGCCCCTCACCCAGCCTGCACTGCCAGTAACAGAAGGATTCATTTGTGTTTGGTTAGAGGATAATAACCGAGGGATGGAAGACATGTTTTTTAATTTTGGGACTTTACAGTGGTCTAGAATCAGGCATCTACCTAGGGAAGATATATGGCTCACTGGACAAAAAGCCTGGGGAAATCCAATGTGTTCCTGAAAATTGAGTTATCTGGAGCAGAATGCCACCATACAGATGTTATGAAATGCAATCAGGACCTCAAAGTCAATGTATTCTGCAATGACCTGCCAGACCATTTTCATACAATTCCCAATTCCCACACATATACCACTCCACTCGGTGCTGCAGGCTAGCCTGAGTTGTGACTCCAGAGCAGTGGTACTTGTGTGTGGTCTCCAAACTGGAGTCACAGGGTCACCAAGGAGCTGCTAAGAAAAGTTAATTCTTGGAACCTGCCCCAGAGCTACTGAACAGTA